CTTGGATAAAAGCCCTAATGAACTTCCAGATAAACGTATATTGGAATCAACTCACATGTCATAATCCTAGGGTACTTCTTTGGGTGTACCACTTGAAAAGCGGTCAGGCATGCTTTCCAACAAGAGCATGTAGGATGGAGTGTCAGACAGCCTTGGCAAAAATATTTCTCTCCTTGTGCTGTGAAAAGCTTGAGCTACTTATTTCTGCACATCCAGGCAGCTGTGAAGGCATAAGAGCAAACCACACTGTATATTTTTGAGCAGCTGGCAACCTGCCTTATTGTACCTAGGATTAAAAGAGTGTTCTTACTCTTGGAATATAAAATACCTTCAGGCTGGTTTAGCAACTGTCACGCCTTATTCCTGGATGTGTTTGCTGTTGTTATGTGCCATAAAGTCATCTCTGGCTTATGGTGATTCTATGAATGGGAGAGGTCTCCAACATATCCTGTCCTCAACGGCTCCTTCAAACTCAAACATGTGGCTTCCTTTAAGGGAGTTGGTCTATCTCGGATTTGGTCTTCCTCTTTTCCTGCTTGCCTTCCACCACCACCTCTTCCTCTTTTCCTGCTGCCTTCCACCACCACCTTTCCCAGCCACTGTCTTTTCCAGAGAAGCCCTCCTTCTCATGATGTGCCCAAAGTATGTCAGCCTCTGTCTCATCATCATTATTATCACAACCAACCTTAGAATTGCAAAGCTGGAAGGGACCTTATGGAACATCGATTCATTATTATCACAACCAACCTTAGAATTGGAAAGCTGGAAGGGACCTTATGGAACATCAATTCCAGCTGCTGTCAAGGAGACACAGTGGGGGAATTGAGCTCCCAACCTCTGGCTCCAGAGCCAGACATCTAAACCACTGAGCTATCCAGCACTTCTGCCTCCAGAGAAAGGTCAAGCTTGATTTGATCTAGGACCCACTTGTTCATCTTTCTGGCAGACCGCTGGCAAAGATCTACTTCAGCACCATATCTTAAACATTTTTTCCCTGTCACCTTTCTTTAGTGTCCAGCTTTCTCACCTATACACGATGATCGGAAATACAAGAGTGTGGATGATCTTGACCTTGTTCTCCAGTCCTTTACACTTGACAATCTTTTCTAATTCCTTCATGGCTGCCCTTCCAAGTCTTAGCATTCTGATTTCTTGGCTGCCATCTCCCTTTGGACTGATGATTTGAACCAAGGTATACAATGTCTTCCACTGTTTCAGTTCCATGATCTGGTTATGGGGCAAGCACTATTTACCTCTACATCTTTCCATAACACGTCTTCTGCTTACTCACGTTCTCCTGGATTTCCTCTCTCTTGCTCTCTGCTCCATCCTTAGCTCCTGCTGGTGTACACTTCCTTAGCTCTGTCTCCTACTGCTGCCGTGCACAGAAAGAGCACACGTAGCCCTACATTTTGTTTATTACAACTCCCATCATCCCTCACCCACTAGCTCTGCTGGTAAGAACCAATGAGAGCTGCAGTCCAACAACATCTAGTGGGGGGGGAACACACCTCTGTCACCCCACTCCTGTGGCTGATACCCACCTCGCTCCATCCATCATCATCTTCGTAATAAAAAGAAATTTAAATGATGATTATTTTTACTGTAGCCTTTCTCTCCAGCTTGATTTTTTTTTCACCCTTTCCTCTTTCCTGGCCTGTTCTCCTGCTGGAAAGCTTCTTTGCTACCGGATGTCTTTTTTGTAAAGGGAAGCCTGCAAAGGAGGAGAGCCCGCCTTCTGTATTCTTAGGTGAATGTTCAGATCATCAGCCATAACATGGATCTGTCTGTGGATGTAGCAGTAATAGTTAAACCAGCTTCTAACTGATTTCATATTTGTTCTGCCAAGAGACTTATAGGGTCTCTGCATGTATGAAAAGAAGTAAATACAAAACACCAAGGTGTACCCAACAAGAAAGAGAAGGGCTTAATTTCTTCATTTTGGGATAAACTCAAATGCACAGGAGCAGATCAAATGAAATGACAGCGCTGTGTTTTTTTCAGTGAAAAAAAAAGCCTCACATGTTCAATTTCAACTCATGGATGGTTAGAGCCATCACGTGTTGTCCATGCATGTGTGAACTGCTCCTGGAAAGCCCAGGGCTGGGCTGGGCTGGGCTGGTTCCAGGTGTGGTTTGTGGCATTTTACATCCTGTCTCTCCCCCCCCCTCCCCAAAGATGGTGAACTTGGTTCCCTTGCTTTATTTGATCCTGAGAGCCCTCCTGCCAGGCAGCTTGGTTTAAGAGAGGGTGGGCCAAAGATACTCGCTGGCGGAGGAGTAAAGATTTGAAGCCACATCTACTGTATGCCGTTCTAGTCCCATAGGCTAACCCAGGGATGGAAAAGCGCACGGGAGGGGCAAGACTGCACAGATCCCATCAGCCCTGATGGCGAATGATGGGTGCTGCACTCTGATGATGACAATACCCGGTGGGCGCGCGCCCACGTTCCTCGCGCTAGTGACTGCGCCGCTGCTACACAGGCGATTGTCACCTGGGCCTCGCAACCCCATTGTTGCCACTGGCTCTCTAAAGAGGGGGAAAAGAAAAGATGAAAAACCCAGGGAGCGAAGAGAGAGGGCCAGCTGCGGGATGGGGGGGGGGAAGACAGCCAGATCTGACCCAAGCCATAAAGTCCCTGGGGGAGGCTTCTTGCCCAGGTGCCATGGATGTGGGAGGGCGGGGGAAAAGGAAAGGGGAAAAGGCGCTGCTTCCACAGCTCCTTCCCATAGCCTTCCCTGGGGTCCTGGCAGCAAGAGGACCTGCCGGCGGATCACTCGGTTGAAGCACGTCGAGGGGCCCGTCTCAAGCTGCAGCCAGTGCCGGCGTCCAGAGGCGGCCCATCCGGGTTGCGCGGCATCGTCGACCGGGGACCCTCCGAAGGCAAAAGAAGAGGCGAAGCCCCTAAAGTCGGAAGAAGCCAGGCCGGCGAGCGCGGCCTTTCTTCCTTTCCTTCCCCCTCTCACCAACCTCCCCCCCGGCTTCGCACTCTCGCCCTAC